AGGTTCAATGTTACTGCTGTAAACAGTTTGGCCATTTTGCCAGAGACTGTAGAAACAGAGGAAGGAAATCAGAAGAAGCAAATATAGCCAAAGAAGATTCTGATGACGAACCTGTGCTACTGATGGCTTCTGATTCTGATGGAAACTGTTCAGGAGATTGGTGGTATATGGACACTGGTTGTTCAAACCACTTGACTGGGAACAAACAATGGCTGATAGACTTTGAATCCAGAAGGAGAACAAAGATCAGATGTGCTGATGATAAGTACCTTAATGTAGAAGGTATGGGAAATGTTAGAGTCAGAGTGAAGAATGGAAAAAACATTCTGATCAAAGATGTTTGGTATGTTCCTGGAATTAAAAGCAATCTGATGAGTGTGTGTCAGCTTATTGAGAAAGGTTTTTCAGTGGTTATGAAGGACAACCTCTTGAAGTTGTATGATTCTAATCAGAAGTTGATTATGAAGTCTGAGCAGGGAAGCAACAGAACATTCAAGGTGAATGTAGAAACTTCTGAAGCAGAGTGTCTTAGTGCAGAAGGCGCTGAAGTTGACAGTAAGCTGTGGCGCAAGAGGTTGGGGCACTTGAACTATAGAAGCTTAGGGCATCTAAGTTATAAGAAGCTCGTACATGGAATTTCGAAGATTGTGAAGCCTCAGAAGTCATGTGAAATATGCATGAAAGGCAAGCAACCCAGATTGCCATTTGCATCAAAAGTAGCCCCCAGAGCAAAGCATGCTCTAGGAGTAGTACATTTTGATGTGTGTGGACCATTTCCAGTACCTTCACTTGGAGGAAACAAATATTTTGTGTATTTTATGGATGAGCTCACAAGAATGACATGGGTAACACTCATCAAGTTCAAGCATGAAGTGTTTACTGAGTTCCAGAAGTTCAAGGTGAAGGCTGAGAAGCAGAGTGGTCAAAAGCTGAAGATTCTGAGAACAGATGGTGGAGGTGAGTATAACTCTACAGAGTTCCAGAAGTTCTGTGAGGATAATGGAATAGAACATGAGGTTACTGCTCCATATACTCTTCAGCACAACGGTCTTGCTGAAAGAAGAAATAGAACTTTACTTGATATGACCAGAAGTATGCTCAAAGAGAAGAAGTTACCTCACATGTTATGGGGAGAAGCTGTTGCCACATCAACATATGTTCTGAATAGGTGTCCAACAAAGAAGCTGAAGGAAATTGTTCCTTTAGAAAAATGGACTGGAGACAAGCAAAATATTAGCCATCTGAAGGTGTTTGGTTCTGTATGCTACAAACATGTTCCAGATGCTAGAAGACGAAAACTGAATGATAGAAGCAAAAAAATGTTACTGGTGGGGTACCACAGTACAGGTGCCTATAAGCTTTATTGTCCAGAAACCAACAAAGTTGAAATCAGCAGAGACGTCATTGTGAAAGAGTCAGAAACATGGGATTGGAACAAGCTTCAATCAGATTCTGGTGTAGTGCCAATACCAGGGTTAGTTTCTGAAGATCCTTCAGAAAGTTCTGAAGACGAGTCAGAGTCAGAAGATGAAGACTTTGAAGATGAGTCAGAATCTCAGGGAGATTCTGATAGTGGATCTGATTCTGATCCAGATTCTGATGATGATCCAGAATCTGGTGGTGATTATACTTCTGGAAGGGAAAACTCTGAAGACATGGGGTCTGGAGAACAAGTTTCCAGAAGCAACTCTGAAGGTGGTAATTCTGAAGGAAATAATTCTGGACAAAGTCCAGAAGCTAGCACAGTTCCGAGTTCTGGAAAAGCTTCAGAGCAAGATCAGAGGCCACAGAGAATCAGACGAATACCAAGTAGGTTTGCAGATTTTAGCATGTAGCATGATACTGAAGTAGATTCTGAAGGAGAAATCATTCAGTGTGCCATGCTAGTAGATTTTGAACTAGTGGGTATTGAAGAAGCGCTCAAGAAGAAAGTATGGCTGAATGCCATGAAAGAAGAACTTGAGACTATTGAAAGAAACAAGACTTGGAAGCTGACAGAACTTCCAAAAGATAAGAAAGCCATCAGCGTCAGATGGGTTTTCAAGCAGAAGCTAAAGCCAGATGGATCAATTGGCAAACACAAAGCGAGACTAGTGGCCAGAGGTTTTCTTCAGAAACCTGGACTAGATTACTTTGAGGTGTTTGCGCCTGTAGCTAGACACGAAACAATCAGACTGGTGATTGCTTTAGCTGCAAACAGAAATTGACCTTTGATACATCTGGATGTGAAGTCTGCATTTCTGAACGGTCCATTACAAGAAGAAGTTTATGTGTCACAACCTCCTGGATTTGTGAAAAAGAATCAGGAAGGGATGGTATACAGGTTAAATAAAGCTTTGTATGGACTAAAGCAAGCGCCCAGAGCTTGAAATTTGAAGATTGATTTGTTTTTCAAGGAACAAGGGTTTCAGAAGTGTGAGATGGAGTATGGTGTTTATGTTCAGCATACTTCAGAAGGTAATATGATTCTGGTCTGTTTGTATGTTGATGACATATTACTCACAGGAAGTTCTGAACAAGAAACAGTTGAGTTCAAGAAAGTTCTGATGAATGCATTTGAGATGACAGATCTTGGAAAAATGAGTTTCTTTCTAGGGATGGAATTTATATACTATGAGAAAGGAATTATCTTACATCAGAAGAAGTATGAACTGGAGCTTCTGAAGAGATTTGAGCTAGCAAATTGCAAGGTTGCTATCACACCTGCTGATACGAATCAGAAGTTGGATTCTGATTCTGATGAAGAGGATGTGGATGCTACAATCTTCAAACAAATGGTTGGTTCTCTGAGGTATTTGTGTAATACCAGACCTGATATTTGCTATGCAGTTGGAATGGTCAGCAGATACATGAGCAAACCAAAGTGGTCTCATTACCGAGCTGCTGTTAGGATTCTGAGGTATGTAAAAGGAACTCTGAAATATGGAGTGTTATTTCTTTTTGGAGGAAAGATCAAATCAGAACTTCTGAGTTATTCTGATTCGGATTGGTGTGGAGATAGAGTTGACAGAAGAAGTACTTCTGGGTACTTGTTCAAGTTTCTGGGAGGTCCAATTTCTTGGAGTTCCAAGAAACAGCCTGTTGTGGCTTTGTCAACATGTGAAGCTGAATACATTGCAGGTGCTGTAGCTGCTTGTCAAGCAGTTTGGCTTCTGAATCTGCTGCATGATCTGAAGGTTGAAGTTGAGGAACCTATGAAGCTGATGATTGATAATAAGTCTGCAATTAATCTTGCAAAGAATCCAGTGCTACATGGAAGAAGCAAGCACATTGAGACGAAGTATCACTTTCTCATAAGTCAAGTGCAGAAAGAAGTGTTAGAAGTTTTGCACTGTAGCACTCAGAAGCAACTAGCAGATGTTCTGACAAAGGCGATAAAAACAGACCAATTTCTTTGCTTGAGAGATGAAATTGGTGTTGTTAACTTCTGATAAGTTACTAAATTACGGGATGGTATTAGAGAGTAATTTAGTATTTGTTATTTGTTAGATATTCTCATTAGGGCCTATGTGGCATTCTTATCTTTGCTACTTTGTGTATAAATATGTGTACTAGGTTTGCATTTAATACAATCAATTCCTTCAATCATTAGTGGCAGCTTTTAACATTTATTCATTTTTTCTCTTCTTCCTCAATTTCGAGGGTGAAGTAGTATGGAAGAAGTATATTCATTTTTAAATGTATAATTTTAATTATGTTGATCAAACTTAACTCTTTATGTGATGCTAAAATTGAGAATAAATTATTTGTATTGTCTTAAATTGTAAACCATCTCATTGAACTCTACAAATTTCACTATTTACTTTCTATTATAGTTTTAAAATATAAAAAAATCTTCTATTTTAACTTCACAATTCTACCTTCTTTATAATTTTAAGAATGTAAAATATATTAGATATAAGTGATTAAATGTGAATATGAAGTAAAATATATTAGATATAAGTGATTAAATGTGAATATGAAGGATGTTATATATAAATACTTTGTTGTACTAATATTATTTATAGTTAAATAATGCTACAAACATTATAACAATTAATTTAGTATAACATAAAAAAGTTTTCATACAAATATTTCAAATTTATTTTTTAAAATTATACTAATAATTATTAAAAATAATTTAATATTTTTTATCCGTGCACCATTCCGTCCCACTCTTTTGTGTCTTGCTCCACATTAAGTCTCACATTTTAATGTAAATATTTTATTTTTGATTATATTTTGACAGATGACGAATTTTGACACAACGAATTTTAGTGAGCGGCAATCCTAAAATCTCAATTTAACTCACAATTTTTTAACAGGTGTATTGGTCGACTCCTCGTGTCATGACCCATTTTACCATAGGTGTACGTTTAATATTTCTTTATCACGTTTATTATTTATCACGTTTTCCTTGATTGACAAGCTGCTGGCGTGGGGTATACCCTTTCATTTTTTATTTAATTTTCCTCCATTAGAGGACATCTAGAGATACCTTCTTTTCTCCCATGTGAAAAACCAACCACCTCTAATATCTTATTTCATTTTTTCTTGTTTTATGGACTATTTTTAATTCAAGTGGCCTAAAAGCCATCATCAATTTTATTATTTTAACTAACCACGCTAAATGATTCCATTTCCTTTTCTTTATATTACTCATATCATCCATTATCACTTCACCCTTTCTTTAATTCATTCATCCCAAGAATGCTTTTTTTACAAGCTTTTATATTGATAGACAAAGTAGTTACTATATGTTCACACACATAACCGTAAGAATCAGTAAGAATCAGAATTAGTGTTCCATCTTTGATAATAACGTCTGATTTAATAATATCGATTTCTGTTAGTTGAGTTAGGATTTCTATATTGCAAGTTTTAATATTAATGCATATTAAAGATTGATTTCAAAAAGAATAGTCCTCACTTACACATATCTACACATGAAAGAACTTTATCTTAACCTATGAAAAAGAATGTACAACAAATAAAAACCAAAACAAAATTGATATCCGGTGTTATTGATTCTCTCCGGATTTCCCATCCAACGCTACCAATGATATTTCGGACCTTCTAGACGCTTCAAACCGTCTAGAAGCTTCCAAACGAGCCGTAAATCCAACCGTTGTATGTCTTATCGATCGCTGTCTCACCATGTCGCAAAACTCAGGATCATTCACCTGCCCATCTTTCCTTATCCATTGTATCATTTGATGATACACCGGGAAGAACCGAAGTTGAATAGTCGAGTACCCGAAATACGGAAGCAATGCAGCAATAAGAACAAGAAAAGTTACAACCCAATATAATGGTGATGGTGCACATGCTTCAATGAAGACGTTATATGCAGTTGTTGATATTGAAGGGTCTATAGCTCCATATGCCATGAGGAAAATGTACCACATGAAAATGCTTCCCCATATGAAAATATGTTGTATGTATGTGAAGTAGGTTATTGATAATGCCATTTGGCAATTCACAACCCATACAACACAAGTGTACAATGTGGTTCCAAGAATTTGTAAGTCAGCAAGTTCGCCACCTTTGCGAAAGGATTGATGCTCCATCGCGCGGATGCAGAAGAAGAATATAATCGCGGAACTTGCAACTCCGTTTAACGCCCAACCGGATATTCTTTTCCAGCTGAATAGTAAGTTTTGCACACCTTCTTGGTAGAGTAATGGAAACTGAAACATGAATGAAATTTTTTCGTGAGAAGAGAACTATAATTAACTGGTTTTATCGCGCCAAGGTAATGAGTTTGTTAAGGCTTTACCTTGAGACATAATTTGGAAGAGACATCTTGATCAAATACTCCTAAAGCAATAACAGGAAGTGAAGTGAAGAATACATTGTAAAATGACATGAACCAATCATTGTATGCAGGTTGGCCTGAGAATGAGGTATACATCTCGTAGAAGAACAAGGTGAAGCCGAAAGTGATATTCTTGTAGAAGAAGTAACAAATCTGTCAAACAAAAAGTGAAGATTGTCAGAAACGAAGTTCGAACGGAGAATCTCATAAGTGAAGACATGACAAGATTGTTACCATTGATGAAATTCTTCTGTAACACCAATGCCCGTGTACGAGAAGTAAGCGTTCTAGAAATCGAAATTGAGCAATGGCGATATCACTTGACATAACTGCCTAAAAAGTTCAAAGAAGCAAAGTTAGAATTTGAAAAACAAAAAAGGTAAGTGGAAAAACAAAAAATTATCGGTTTGGATATTGCGGATTTACCTGCATTCCTTCAACACCACTGATACCGATTCCAATATCGGCTTCTTGTAGCATACCAACATCATTTGCTCCATCTCCAATAGCTAGAGTTGTGCTACCAGGTCTCATTTTAACCAATCTAGTAACAAGTGCTTTTTGCTTTGGAGACGAACGACAGCATATGACAGACGCGCATCCAATCGCAAGTTCAAGAAACAAGTTTTTTACATCGTCTTCTAATGCATGAGCAAGAGACTTTCCGTCAATGATCAGAGCTAATGCCTCAGAGTTATCGTCTGATGACGATAGTAACGCCTTTGCCTCCGTTATTTGACGAACAACACTTGCTTTAATTGCCTGAATAATCATTAAAATTCAATCAAAATCAAATTTATTGGTATAAACCAAACCAGCAATTAAGATTCTAATGCATATTGATAGGATCAAAGCGAAGGCTTACCGCTTCAGAAGCCGATTTGTCCTCCATTTTCTCGAGCAATTTGTTTTCGGGAGTATCTGAATTAATTATAATTTGTTTCATTCCTTGTCTAAGCAAACTACAAGCATATCTACAATCACATGAAAATTACCAAATTAGTTACATATTCTTATTTGCAAATACACAATATCAAAATTTATCTACATAATCTGTAAAACTTACCCAATATTGATTGCAGTTTCCATTTTATCACCAGTCAATACCCATAACTTAATCCCAGCCTGGGCTAGTTTGTCAATGCATTCAGGAACCCCGTCTTGTAGTTTATCCTCGACTGCGGTAGCACCGAGAAGAATCAAATCCTTCTCAATATTTTGCAATATATCCTCCACAATCTGCTCTTGATCCGCACTCACTAAGTTTTTAGCATCTGTCAACTCTTTATTAAACTGATTGTACTCTTCCTCGTCGAGTTCACGATAGGCGAGTATCAATGTCCTTAAACCAGAATCCGCGTATTCGTTAATGTGATACTTAGTTTGCTCTTCAAACTCTCTCCCATTCTTTCCAAGTAGTTCAAACATGACACTGTCAGCACCTTTGCTAAGTAGTAGTAGTTTCCCAGTGTGGTCTCTTACGATTACGGACATTCGCTTTCGCGCACTAGTAAACTCTAATACATTTAAAAGGTTATAAGACCTGAAAAAATGAAAACCAAATGATGCTTTTAGTACATAACTCATATTTCATTTGCAGACATGAAAAAGTTTAGCTTCTCACAAACAAGAACAATAACCATACCTTTCCGATTTCACATTTGATTCGAGGTCCAATTCATGAACTGAAATAGCTGCATGTGTTCTTTCATAAAATTCAAATCCGAATTGGCTGGCTGCGACAACAAAAGCAGCCTCATCGGGCGATTCAGCTTCGTACGAAATGCTACCGGTTGCTTCATCGACTTCGGGTATTGCGGTATGACATACAGCCAAAACCTTTAAGAAATTCTGTATCACATTAGCATTAGGTTGTCTCACCCAATTTCCATTCATGATCCTTTCATCCATGAAGTTAAACCCTTTAATCTTCGACTTTGATTTAGCAGCCTTAGTAGCATTTTCTTCGCTTTTCAACTTCCGCCCGAAATACGAATCTTTTCTCTTCGATAAAGCTCTCTCGACTTCCGTAAATCCTCTTCCATAAGCAACTCCACCAATAGAACACTTGATGAATTCCATAGAATTGCAAGTCAATGTTCCTGTTTTATCAGAAAGTATGGTATCAACTTGACCAAGTTCTTCGTTCAAATTCGACGTACGAGCGTGCGCTGGCTTATCCGTTTCCTCGTAATACATGTTCAAATCCTGATTGATGAAAATGCTTTGAAGAACCTTCACAACTTCAATAGAAACATACAACGAAATCGGAATAAAGTAACCATACAACATCAATGCTGTCAAGAAATGAAGAAGCGCTGCAACTACTGCACTTTCAGGATCATAGAAAGCCTTAGTATCATCAGGCCTAAGGTACCATCTCTTCATTATTTTGTTTTTCATATCCTGCTTCGTCCATATCCCGAAGAAAATCGAACCGATGAAAGAAACCAAAATTAACACAAAGAACAAACAGTAGATAACCTTATCCATTCTTTTCTCAATCTTGCTTCTCTTCGAAGGAGGCTCTGTCGAATTCTGCATAACCTTCGTGTCATGACCGGTAAAGATCACAACACCGTAGATAAAATCTGTGTTCTTCAACTTAGAGTCTCTAAGAAGTAACTGCTGAGGTGAAAGTGGATACTGATGCTCTTCATCAACCTCCAAACTTCCTACAAACGAATACAAATTCGCATTCGGATCCTCGCATCGTATCACAGCCTTGAAATCTCGAAAACTCGAGTCTTCTAACAAATTCGAAGTCCCTTCTAGTGCTTGTTTTAGTTTAAGATTCGTCTCTCCGTCGAGATTCATGGTATCGACATAGCAAATCGCGTCATCGTAATTCGACGCAAGAAGTATAAGATCAGCAGGAAAATACTCATCTTTTTCAACTTTCACTATATCTCCAACTCTCAAATCTCTCCATTTAGAATAATCAAAAACACCATCACCACCATGAACCTTCACTTTTCTGTTATTCATCTCTATATCCTGATCAACCAAATCATAAAGACAACATCAATAACCTAAATTTCATAAACTCATATTAGAAAAAACAGCAGCCTTTTTATACATAGAGAAACAAAAACAGTACCTGTTTTTTCCGCTGAAAATCTTCGATGAACTCTTTGGCCATAGTAGCAGCAACAACAACAAGAAGAGGAATAACATTGCTGACGGCAGAGTAAGGAGCAACAGGAGAGAAAGAGAGAATAGCAACAACCAAGAAGTAAAAATTTGCAACTCTTCTGAATTGTTCAAACAAAGATTTAGGTAGAAAAGTGGCTAATGTATACTTAGTAGTTCTAACGTAATTATCACCATAACTATAAATACTAGACATAGCACGTTCTGCATCATTGCAATAAACTTTCCTTGAGAAACCAGGTCCTCCTATGAGCGAATGTTCATCTTGTTCCAACGATGCTTTACCACATGAAAATGCATGGATCTTGCTGAAATGATGCCTCCTTCTCCTTCCACCAGCCATGTTTCCAAGATTCAATTATCAAATCTGAATGTTTTTTGTCTCACTGAGATTCAAGCAAACCAATGAATAAGAATATGAACAGATAAAAAACTGAACAACTTTTGCTTTATACAAACAATAAAAGAATTGTGTTTTTGTTTTTGTTTTTGTACAAGAATGATGTTTGAAAAGATGGAAAATATGAAGATATAAATGAGAGAGAGAGAGAGAGAGAGTTGAAAGATGAGACATGAAATAGAGCAACCTACGACTTCTTGTTGTTGTTGTTTGATTGAGTTAATGGTTGTGTTGTGTCATCCCAGTTTGACCAATGGTGGCTCACAATAAGAGACTTTTCAACTTTGAAATGGAACTTTCTCTCTCTTTTTCTTACACAACCCATGACTTAGTTACAAATACACACCTACTTTTCAATAAACTAGTAATATTAGTATCATTTCATGATTCATCATTGATGTCACTTTTTTTTCTTTCTTTGAAATGAATACAAAAGTTTAATATCAATCGAATGAAGAAAAATCATCAAGGAGTTTAAAAAAGAAAGTACCAGCTAATATTCTTACAACAAAATACTAATAACCAAAACAACTGAAAACAACTAATCAAACAGTAAAGAATTTTAGAGCCATAAAAATTTAGCGGAAAATAGAAATATACAGAGAAAATTAAAAATATACAGAAGGAAAAAAAAAACAGAAGCAATACTGTTTTGGTAAATTCTTTATTGCTAGTTAGTTTTAGTTGAATACTGATATTTTTAAATGAAATATATTTTTATTTTTATTTTTTAAATAAATTATTAAATATTGGAGTGTGGCTTAAAGTTTTTACTGTAATAAACATTTGAATTTTGAATTTTTCTTTATGATAAAGATTGAAATACGCGTACAATATTTCAAAGCTTCTAGAAAGTAAGATTTGTTTAGTTTCTTTTTTCTATAATAGAACAGGAATGAAGTGAATTTGGAAATAAATTGTTTAAAGAATTAAAAAAATTGCACAAAGTTTTAAGAATTAACTAATTGACAATTTTAATTTTTTTATTATTTAGTAAATTGTTTTATTTCTTTTTGACTCAAATTAAATTGTTTTAATTTCGATATCTATTACTGATCTTACCGGATCAGACTTGGACCGTCACGATTGGCTCGAACTGAATTTGAGTGAGATGAGGGGTACCTGCAAGACACTCCGATGCTAAAATGAGAGACGAAATGAGCAGGCAAAAAATGTATAGGTGCGTAATAGATGAATACCTGGTCCTCTTGGAACATAGGGTATTTATAGCCCCCAGCGTTGGGCCAAGGTCTCCTCATTGGGCTGACCAGAACTGGCCCAATAAAGGAACTGCCAGGTTCTACGTGTGTAGTGGGGCCCCGCACGTGGTCCCCTTCTTGGTGGTGCTCTGCGAAGAATGAGGAGGGACGAAGACGCGATCTTCCCGGAGCTTAGAGGATTCTATAACGGTTAGGGTGGACAAAATCTGCCCTACGGGGAGAGTGCTCGAGTTGGAGTTCCCTTGGTCGGGGACACTGCATGTCGCGGGCAATGGCGGATAGAGCGGCCACAGTCTGTGGTCGGGCACGTCGGTGATGGTTCGTTTGTGCACGTTCCCTGAGGAGTTTGCTTGGACTGGGCCTTTATCTACGTTTTGGGCCAAGGCGGGCCCAGTCCAGAACAGGAGCCCCCCAAGTCGTTGCTCCTGGGACAGGAGTTATGACTTGACTTTAGCTCGCCTTTACCACGGAGATCTGATGCGCGGACCAGGGTTTTGTCTTTCGAAGCGTGCGCGAGGCGTTTCTCGCGGGGATACACGGGTTGCGCCCGTCGGGTACGGGGCACAGTCCTTGGGAACCGCAGCACCACCCTAGCAACTAGGGCCATCATTGCCTAGGGGAGTAGGTGTCGAGGACGAGAAAGTTCGTGTTTCCCCGGTGCGACGTTTCAAATTCCACGTCATCCTTATAAATAGGACCCTTGGGCCCATAATTTGTTTTTTCCCCTTCACGCTCCCCCTATTTTCCCTGATTCCGCTGTCGTCGTTTGCTGCAACGCCGTGAAATCACCGTATCATTCATCGTTGATTCCTTCCACCGCCGTCACTCGTACTCTTTTCTTCCAAGTAAGTGTCTGTTTCTCCTGTTTTTCTTTGTTGTAGGTAGTTTTAATGTTATTTTTGATGTTAGAAACCCATATTCTGGGAGTAGTGTCCGGTAGATTCATGATTGTGCCCGATAAACTCATAGTTTAGGTACATAACTCGCGATTCTTCCCGTGACCTTCATAGTTTTAGACATATAACTCATGATATTGCCCGTGACATTCATAGTTTTAGGCATATGACTCATGATACTGCCCGTGACATTCATATTTTTAGGCATATGACCCATGATACTGCCCGTGACATTCATGCGTTTGGTCGACATGCCCATGAGCTGGCCGGGGTGTTCATCCTTTTTAGAAAGTATGTAGGGCAGCCTCATCGGGGTGTCCTAGTGTCGGGCAGGTGACTCCAGGAACTTGCTCGAGCGATTCATGTTTCGCCCGGGGCGTTCGTGTTACTCCTTTGTTGTTCCCGATGCATGGTCGGAGCTGGGGCATCCGTGTTCGGCTTGTTGTGTACTACTTCCTGTCTCTGTGGCGAGCACGCGGGTTTGCTCTCGAATTCACCGGTTTCATGTGCTTTGCAGGTAAATGGCCGACGAACCGGAATCTTCGAGGCAAAATGAAGTCGAGGATACAATTACTGAGGAGAATGTTACTTTAGTTGACACCATAGATGACCCCGCGTTGGACTGGGTGGGCTCCGAGCCCCGGGGGATTGCCTCGGTGTACTGTCAGCGTAGCCGACGTGCCTATACTGTCGTCGAGCATGGCGCCAGTCAACCAGATTTTCAGAAAAATTTTATAGTGATGAGGTCGTCGATTGATGCGCGTATCTGCTCAGAGTTTACTGAGTACGGGTTCCCAATGTATGAGATCGTGTTTAGGGATCTCGGTCTTAAGCTCCCCTTCAGTGATTTTCAAGTCGGGGTGTTCAGCCATCTGAACTTGGCCCCTTCGCAGCTTCACCCTAATTCGATCGCCTTCCTTCGGGCGTTTGAGCTGACGTGTCGTTTCTTGAGGGTCGGGGCGACGATTCCTCTTTTCTTCCGAGTCTTTCACCTGCAGCGTCAGTCTCGAGGAGGCAGGCACAGCTGGGTATCCCTGAAACAGTCGAAGAGGCTGTTCAGGATGTATATGGATTCGATAAGGGACTTCAAGGATAAATGGTATGTTCTGCAGTCAGTCACCCAAACTGCCTTGGACTCCTTGTTCGAATCGGAAACCATGGTGGTCGACACGGACGGGGAGCCCCTCGTGGATGTTGAGGGTCGTTCGGCTGTCGGGCACATTTCCAAGTTCCCGATACATTGGTGCTCGGTCCATTACGACCATGGTACCGAGTATTATCATACGTCTGCGGGAAGCATGAGCACCGAGGATGAGGAGGCCTACGCTGTCCTTTGCAAGTATGTCGACAGTTTCTTCCCTGCCTGGTGGGTTACGAGGGAAGGGGACGATATTCTTGACGAGGAAGGGTACCCGACATTCGAGGCTCGTCCCATCAACACTAAGGCGCTCGTCGAGTGCCAATCTTATGGGCAGGCCGTAGATCTGCTAGGTTTCTTGCTTCTGCTCTTATTGTTTTATTTCATTTTCGTTGTTTTTGCTTGCTTACAACTAACCCGGGTTTTGCTCCTTTTTGCAGGCGACATGGCTGAGCGTCGGGAGAGGTTATTGAAACTGATCCAGGACAAGAAAATAAATAAAAGGCTGGTGCGGGCACCGCAGGCCACGAGGATGGGACCACCGGCCAGTTCGGGCGGAGATGCCTCTAGTGGGTCCTCGGGCTCTCCCGATGCTGAGCAACCCACAAACTGATTCCCAGGAAGAGAAGTCGAGCTAAAAACAGGTCGGAGGTTGGCGACGAGTCTGTATCCGCGAGGGCTTTCGGCTTACCCCCCTGCTTCAAAGAGAAAGATTTCTTCGAGGGGTTTCCTCTGACGGTGAGCAATGACGAGGCCGATACTATTAGGCGGCTTGACAAAGAGAGTCGGAGGAAACATCTCGCCGCCAGCATGGTCGGGATGGTGAAGATGGCCAAGATGGTTGTGGTCCTTGCCGAGGAAGGGTCGGATTCCTCGGATCGTGTTAGGGAGTTGGATTCCGAGAAAGCCGCTCTTGCTGCCAGTTCTCATAAGTTAAAGGTGGCCCTCGAGCGGTCCGAGGAAATGTTCTGCAAGCAAGCCGTCCTGCTGGCGGGGGAGAAGGAAAACTCTGCGAAGGTTGCTGAGGAGAGGGATTGCCTCCAACTGGACAAGGAACGCTTGGAGAGTGACAACGAACGTCTATGCAAGGAAGTCGAGGAGCTAAAAGCTGTTATGCTTCCTGTCGACGATGAGTAGGAGGAGACAGCCTCTCTGCGGACCCGTTCAGATTTTGTTGCGCGTATCCATCTTCTTGAGACGGACTATGTTGGTGCCCTAGCCGATGGTTTCGAGGCTGCGGTCATCCAGCTCGCCATCCTGAATCCGGGCATGAATACCGAGGGAGTCGGGTTCATGTCTCAGATTATTGACGGTCAGGTGGTGCCTCCTCCTGAGCCTCCTACGGTAGACGCCGATAGTCCTGGGGACGTTTAGCATGAAGTTTTTGTTCGGGCCTGTGTGCCCGTGTGATGGTTTTTATTTGTTTTGGGGCCTGTGTGCCTGTGCTTATTTCTTTTGGCCGTCGTGCCATGGCTTGTAACCCCTAACATTGCCGGCCTTTTCGGTCGGTTCACAATTAACTTATCTTGTGTATAAGCTTTCTTAATGGATGTTTATTTCGCGTTAACTTGATCGTATCTAAGTTTGTATTCGACTGTTACCTTTGTTTTGGATATTGTCTAAGTTATGTCCTCGAGCAAAGATATCCTTGCTCGACTGTCACCTTTGTTTTGAATATTGTCTAAGTTA